CTCGACACGTGGGGCCGATGATCAAAGTGAGCATCCGATCGCGAGCGCAAGTCATCGAGCTGCGCACGCACACTCATTCCTAGATGTCTCTCTGCACGTCAGTCACGGTCACGATCGAGTCACGACACGAGTCTCTGCGTCGCTCTGGGACATCAACCATCATCCCGACTCCCACACTCGTGACTGCATCGCGAGCGCGCCCTCTGTTTGGCAGTCGTGAGTGTGGCTTGTGGTTGAGGGATGATTTGCTACACAGCCATACAAGTCTTGCCAAAACTTGCAGACGTGAGCTGACTCCCGGATGGGGGTCTGCGTTCAGATATTCACACTGTGCCAGTCTCAACGATGGGCAGTAGCAGGATGGAGTGCATAAATTTCCTCGAATGATTCCATTGAAAAAAGGCTCGGATTTGGTGGAGGATCGAGAGCAAGCATATTAAATGTCCACCTGTTTCCAGCTCGGTGGCTTTCCAATATACTTGGTCGCCTTGTCACCTGCCAACAGATTCTTGCCGACTTGTGCATAAGCGTCCGCCATCATTCCTGCCTTCTTGCCTCCCAAATGTGCGAAAGCTGCAGCTATACCTCCGAACTTGCTGATCATCATTCCTGGCGCTCCGTACGTGAGACCCGCTTTGGCCTCTTGCACCAGCGCGCTAGGCTTGAATCCATTGGCCGTCGCATTGGCTACGGCTTTTGCCTATGCACGAAAAGACATGGATGTCAGCAGCAGGCAAGAGACTACACGACGGGGTCGAGAAGAGGCCCTTTTGGGCGGACTTGCTCCGCTACACTTACCGTGTCCGGAACTCTGCTCGCAACCGTGGCGATGCCTCTTCCAGCTCTTTGGGCAAAGTTGGCCGTAGCTTCCGCAGCAGTGACGACCTTCTCACCGACCACCTTGGCCGCATCCGACACCGCGCCCCCCACTTTCTGAGCAGCATCTTTGACGCCATCTCCAATCTTTTCCGCAACCTTCTTCACCCCGTCCCCCACCACTTCGGCTGCCTTTTTGATGCCGCCTCCCACCGTCTCGGCAGCATTCTTGATGGCTTCACCAGCCTTTTTGAACGCGTGACCTATCTTTTTGAAAATGTTGCGTCGATGCAAGGAGGGAGGAGGAGAAGTAGGATGGAACAAGTTTCTCCTGCCAAGCTCATCATCGATCAGCATGACTCCCCTCCCTAGACGGTCGTCCTCACTGCGACGATGCACGTGGGTGCTTGTCATGTCGGCCCACAATTTGCTAGTCCAAGAAGAAGAACCGCTCTTGCGCAACCTATCGAGTCGCACCTCTGTCGATCTCCGACGAGGGCCATTTTTGCTCGTCAAGCTGGACCGCGTCCCACGCCGCTCTTGTGAAAGCTCGCGCGCCCAAAAGGTCGCGGTGCTCCTCTCGAATGTTTGCGCGACCAGTGTCCTCCCATCGAGCTCCGAGGCTGCAAAAGTAGGTTGCTGTGCAAATTGCGTCGCCGTAGTCAAACCTCGCCCATCAAGATGTCGACTCATTGTCGAATTAGGCCGGGCAGAAGAGACTGCTGGTGCAGCTTTCACTCCACATCTTGGCACTTCGAATCCAATGATGAGGGCGATCAAGGTGAGCCAGAGTAGCGCGTTGATACGAGACCGCCGCAACGACATGCTGATGTGTCGCTGGCGGTACAATGCCGGCGATGCGCACAATCAGCCGTGTCAAAGTAAGAGGGATAGACAGCGATGGAAGAGACTCTGCAAGATTGGTGTTTATGGTATAGTAGTCAAGCTTGGTGCGACCAGCGCTTTCCGGGGCAATGCCAATACAGAAGGAGAGGGGAGCAGTCGCGCTGATGAGCGAGAGATGTTGGGCGTCGTCTAAAGAGTAGCTGCACCTGGCAGCTCGTCGGCGTGGTCG